GCCAAGTAGTAATAACAGCATTACTGTGTTCCGGTTTTAAAGGGTGGTGCTGATGAAATTACACCCACACGAGGCTTGTCAACTTATGTCACGGGAGAAGTGGCAGGGCCCTTCCGATCTTTGCATTTTAAGACTGTCTGTCTGAGTGGCACTGCAACTGTAACGGACAAGCGTGCAGCTTACCATCAGGCGCACGCCTTGTCCTTTCTGTCACTTGATATTATAAAAAATAATTTCATAGGTTTGCAAATTACAATCGTGACATAGACCAAACGCTTCTTTCTTCAAAATTATTTTTCTTTTAATTATTATTATTAGCGTATTAATTTTTAGATTAATTGACTTGATCAAAAAGTAGTCGAGAGGATGGTAACGGTACATCCAAGTCTACTTACTTTCCAAACTTACAACTAAAAGGTTCACTGGCGTCGCGCCGTAATTCGATACACCGAACTATACAAAAGCTCACTGGCAAAGAGTTAACCATGAATCGAGAAAAATAAGCACATATTAAAACTTCATTCGAACATCGAACAGACAAAGCGCTGTCGATCAGAATCTGTCACGTGATACGAGATCGTGAAATGGACCTAACAATTTGACAACTGACATTCGAACAGTGTCGGTCGATGTGACGTCACAGTTTGATCATGATTAATAAGAATGAATGCATTTCACATTGGCGTGATCAAATATGAATAATTAACGATACATAAAGAGGAGTTAATTGTAAATAAACAAACACAAATGCGTAGTCTTCAAAAAGTGTTGTTTGAAAACAATTTCAATTGTCTAGAAATACATAAGGTTTCGTATAATATTAAAAGGATTAGGCCTAATATGGAAAGTATTATTATTTGTGCCATTTTATTCTTTATCGGTGTGTGTGCTTTATTCTTGTGGCAATAAAGAATATATTTCACATTTCATTGTATTTCCTATACCATTGCACGAATGGCGAGCTTATCTCATCGAAAGATTAAAATAACAAATATACGCGATTTGGGTCCGAAAAAATAGTTTCATTTCCTTAAAGGAAAAACGATTTGTTTAAAGAAATCCAGTCGCCCGTCAGTTTCGAAACATATTTTAAGGTATACGCACAAAACGGCTGCTTAAAATGTAATCCCACAATATACGATAATATAATACAAGAACCAAAAATACAAGAGATTCTAATTTCAGCAAAAAGTTTTTGTGCAGCAATTAGAGTAAATTCGCTGGAGAATATTACGAAAGCCGGTTACATTTCTCGCGCCAAATGAAGAAGTGTTGCTCGGTATTAGTGTCTTCTTCGGCCATACTTGTAGTTAAGGCGCCGTTTCATCATTTCTATCCTTTGTGTTCTTTATGTCTGCATTGGCAGGAATTTTATCCATATTATAGTATATTTGAATTTGTTTAAAATGTTTGCTATCGTAAAGATAAATGAGTATTCCGAAATTAAGCTCGCCGTGTTTGTGTTATATTTAAATATTACCAAAATAAATTTTCGTGGAAGCGCATTTATATTTAAATTAGCGTGTAAACAGAGATTGAAGTACGTGGAGTACATTTACCTAAATTTCAAAGGAGTAATTCATATAGCGTTGGTAATACTACCCTCTGAAACCCCGAAATTATTACATTATCAATTACTTTAGTACAATGAAATCTTTAGTTAGAAGAAAAGTTTTGTAACTGTAAGTAAAAATAGAACTATTTTGTTTTGATGTTTCGCCTTTATATGTGTTTATTTACTCCACATAAGTATACTACTTGAAATTAAAGAAATATTTCCTGCCTGATTATTAGAACAATGATGCCAACTCAGCTATAGGTACCTATGACGTACGCATCGCGTATTTTAAAGTATGCCTGTGTCCACATGATACCCACACATAGTATATAATATGTATTGTGGGTGCTCCTTGGTATATACGAAATAAGAATCTGCATCGCGAATATAAATCAGTAGATAAAGTGATAGAAAAGTACGCCGAAGCTCACGATCATAGATTTTATGATCACGTGAACATAAAGGCTATGTACCTGTATGTACTATACAATACATAATAAATTACCAATGTCTACAAAGAAAGAAATATTTTTAGTTAAGTCATAGTGAATAAAATAAATATTAGTTACTGTATTATTTATTCCCTGAACACATCAACAAAATGTCTTGCCCTTAACTAATAGCACAAGATATCTTGGCGATGGCAATTTATTTACTTATGTAATTTAAATTATTTCAGAAAATTACATTAAATTAAAATCGCTTGTTAGTCTTGTAGACAGACTAGATTGTAAATATGGCTTTGCTTGACATTGTAACAAATTAAAAAATATATTTATTTGGCTTCTTCGCAACCTGTGCTACACAGTAATCAAATAATCGAAACAAAGGCAAGTGTCCCATCACTGCACTACAGACATTCCCGTTTGAATATTATCATTCATTTATCATCAAATAAAGTGGAATCATTTGATTCTCACATATAAAAATAAACGTACAAGGCATTTCATTTCTGCATTCACGAAAACAGACCTACTTGAAAGTGAAATAAACGAAGTATTTTTCATTTCTATTTTTGTTGTTTCGTGATTTTCCATTTTCTTTTTTTCTCTTTAAACATATTAAAAAGCCATAGTAGCCGAATGGTTTACCCACCGCCTCTCAAGCAGAGAGCGCATGTTCGAATCCGGGCTTGCAGCTCTGAGTTTTTCGGAATTTACGTGCGAAATTTTATTTGGTAAATTTACCTTTAGTTTTTTGGTGAAGGAAAACATTAAGAACATAAAGAAAGTTGGACGGGTGTGTGTTTTACAAACAATTTAATGATATGTGCTCATTATTATTATTTGTATTAAATATATACAATAAAAAACCTCGTAAAGATATGCGCCTACCAAAGGGATCAAAGCGTAGTCTTTTATTTGCATTTCATAAACACTACAGCCCCAGCCAAACTAACTTCCACAAACAAACACCTTTGAGTAGTATAACATAATTAATTGTTGAGAGAGTTTGCAAGACGCAGAACTGCGACAGTCGCGCGACAGTCGTCGGGAGGGGTAATTGGGGCTCCATTTGAGAATTATGCATCAGTAATTTCATTAAAAGTTTGAACGACGACGTTCTGACACATAGGTGTCAAACTCCATAGGTGTTGTTCATTACTTTTGCATAAACGACGACGTATAAATGTATCAGACGCATAGTACGCTAGTAAACTCGACGTACGTAGAAAATCGACTGCGAAATTTAAAATAACTCTATAATAAAGGTTAAAGTAGTTATAAAAAGTGAATAATATTAACAAAAAGACTGTTTAAATATTTTATCAAAAAAAAAACAAACAGTAAAAGTCTTATCAAAGAATCACCAAGTTTAAAACCAATAAATATATTGTTCGACGAGTACCCAGACAGAAACAAATTTGGTAAAATTAACTTTGTGAAAGTTACTTTCTCAAATTGTTTCTACCGGGAAACAAACCTGAGACGTCTTCCACACCTAATGCGAAGAGCTTAAACTGCTTACTCTACAAAGTCGTTGGAATTAAAATATTCATTGAATTTAATTGTGTTTTGTTTGCAAATGTAACGTCTAACTTAAACCGTTATTCCTTATCAGATTCGAATCCTAAATTAACATATTTGTTAAAAGAACTTGCATTATTACTTCGTAAAGATTTTCTTAATTAAAACTGACTTACCAACTTGACGAGAGCAACGTTACTGCCAAATTAATTCTTCTAATTGAGTAGTGTGGCTATTAGGGATGTCACAAACTAATTTTTTCACGGAATTAATACATCCTTCGCACAAATAATAAAATTTAAATAAAAAAATTCGTGTCCTATTTTAAAAGTACCAGGATATTCTGTACGTCTTCAAAAATATTTTGTTGTGTAATAAATAACTTATTAACGAACATCGATCCAAACTTCCGCATTTATAGAGAATCGAGATAAGGTGGAATTAATGGTTTTCGGCGTTAAATTATCACTCGATATTGTAAAACAAATTTATCTTTTGAGCTCTGCACGTGTTGAAAGCTTGCGGAAAACAAAAGATGACCGCGCCGGACCCCGCGGAAGAAAAGCCTAATTGGAAATTGGCAATATTGTCATGAAAATGAATCTCCAAAAAGATTAGAGTGAAAAATTAAATTGCTCAGTAAACCGTCATCGATTCTTTTCCCGAATACAGACTGACCTATATCAATTCCAAATTTATGGCAACGCCAAATTACGCGTCACAAAAGTTCGCGAAAAGAACTGTGAGAATTATGATTAATGTAGCGTTATATGGAAAGCATAATTACTTTCCCAACTCGCCCTTACATTGGCAGTATACGACCGACAACTCCCTAAGATATGATAATGTTATTCATAGTTATTTCTGTCGCGTTTACGCAAAACGAGTCAATTTCGAACCGATATATTCTGATAGATTGCTCCTTACGAATAACCTTCCAGAGATATGGAGGTTATTCTAAAATTGTATTTATTATTACTGTAAAACGGTTTGCACCAACTGAAACATCTGGATAATAATTTCAATAATTTACGACTGTTGCAGCAGCGCATATTTGATGTTTTCAGTTGGTCCTCGTTGTCAATCATCTTAATCAGTTGTCAATGTCATCCCATTGAGAAAACTCACAAAAATAAACCAGTGCGGAAATGACGAAGTAATGGAATAGGCCAGTCATCAAAACGTTGTTTCTTCGACTCGGGAGACCTCACACAATTTTATTTCGAGAGAACACAAAAAGAAGCACATTTTGACACTTCCCGTAATAACCGCTTATTACACCGGGATTCCGTCACCATCCAAAACCGATATTAAAATTACATCACTAAATTCAAAAATAGACTGTTCCCACGGTTTTACGTGAAAACCAAAACACTTTTTAATTTTTCAAATATTTTTCGTTTGCAAGTGAAAATTTTAAAAACCAGCGACGACGTTTTACGTATGAAGGAATTTTCAAAAAACCAAATACTAACACACAATGACGTCAAATCAAAATCCGTTCGTTTCGCCGGTCGTTTCGACAGAGCACAAACGTGGGCTCTCCGCGACGATTCGTCGGCGACTGACGAGCCAGCCACGGCCAGGCTATTCAACCCTAGTGTGCGTTTCATTTACGGACACGGGGGTGGTTTTTCATCTGTGTGTGTGTGCACTTCAGGTCACCAGAATTCGGTAAGACAAGCGTTGTGGAGTGGCATGCCCTATATTTTGGTAAATTTCTTCTTTAAAACGAGTTTTTAGTAGCGAGAGAGTGCTTCGGCGGTGATTGAAGCTTTGGATGATTCAGATTTATTGAGAACCTTATTGAGATTTCCCGTTCATTTGGTCAAATGTCCGGCACGTCACTACAGGGCTGACGACTTTTATCCAACACAGAGTTTAATGAAAAATCTATTCGTATTAATAATCCGTCTAAAGGGTAATTCCAGCTGGGATATTGGGACCAAATGCCTTGACGTAACGTGTAAAGTAACCAATTCGGCTGTCCTTATTAAAATGTCATTACTTTAATTACTTAATTAGTTACTGACATCAATGTCAGGGGGAAAATGAAAACGTGTCTCAAAGAAAATAGCGTATAAATTAATATCTATTGGTCCAAAACAAAAAGCAAAAATGTTCAGTGTATGGCTAATTAGTACGAGTATGTCGTCGTAACAATTAAAGAACATAATTAAAGTGTTAACTGGTACTTTATTAAGAATATTTAACCGCCACTGCCCTTGAAAATTGTTAGGACATCTACACAACTACAATAAAGAATTTTTGTATTGTATTGCATTGAAATTGAATTTCAAATTACCGTGAGCTTTTCGATAAAGGAAACCATCGTGATGAAACCTGCACATCGAAGAAGGTTCACAACCCTCGGGAAACGTGTGAAGCCCCCAACCGACATTGGGCCAGCGGCGGACTATGGCCGAAAGCTCAGCCTGAGAGGCGCGTGCCCGGCTCTGGAACGTACAAGCAGATTGATGATGATGACTAGCCTTCACTTCGCTTTATTTTTATAAATTCTGTTACTCGTGACAATGATTTGGTAATTGATTTCTAGTAAGTACAGGCAGCTCTATGTCGATTTCCACGTACACAAAAGATGAGTCCCAGTAGCGGTGTAAATCTCTCCCCAATAATCACGCTAGGTTCGAACTTGAGACGTGCCGACGACTGTACCCTAGGGACATAGCCCACTTCACACTTTGTACATTGACCAAATACTATACGAAGCACGTACACGTCTGAACAAAACTGTACGTAATCCTCACCATACATTGTGTAAGTGTAAGTAACTTAAATTATTTTTTTTAGTTGCTTCATTAGTTTTTTAGCTTCACCTGTCGCTCCAAGGTTGCTAGGAGAGATTGCTACCTAGCAATAAGGCCTTGTCTTCTGTCAATTGTTCGTCTCTGAATTTTGTTCTAGTGTGCTATAAAAAACTTACTGTATTGTTTTACATTTTACAGGCAAGACAAAGAATAATACATTTGTCTTGAATATTGATTTTATCGTCGTTTACATTGTTAGGTAACATACTGTTACATGTATATGTGTATATATATATATATATATATATATATATATATATATATACATATACATATATATAATTAAAACTAGGCAAACTTGTTATACAGAGTGATTTTTTTAACCGGAACAGTATTGGGGCAGCAGAAGTTTGTCAAATTTAATAAAATGTTTCAAAGACAATTACCCTGCTTTCCCTATGGTTTCGTATTTCCCCATAATTGCAATCCCAGTTAAAAAATCACAATCATATTTATATACAATTTTTTATGATCAAATAATGGGACGAACAAGTCGTACACCTGGTGGTAAGCGACACGCCTACGCATAACAGTTGCAGTGCCACTCGGAGCTTTAAATCGCAAAGGCCCTAAGGGGAATGCCACTTCACCCTGAGACAAAGTTAATAAACCCCATGTACCTGTTAACTTCACCAGCATACTTACCCTTTAAAACCAGAACTCAATAATGCTCATTTAGCTGCTTCAAGTACTTGCTTATAATTTTTTTTAACAATTTATTGTTATTATTTGTTTATGATTGATTGTGAGTATAGCGCACAAATTAGTCTAATAGGAATTTTTCACATAATGGAACCTCTGTATACAGCAAAGCAGATCACAAGGACTCAAAATGCTTATAACCTATATACGCGTACATCGAAATATGGACTGTCACGCAGAGGTCTCGGGTTCGATTCCCGGGCCGAGAGACATATTTGTACGGCCTACATTTATTTCCCGCGTAGGTTTGCGTGTAATTTTTGATTGTCTAAGTGTGTGCCCATGGCACCCGCGACACAAGGTTTCCCTAGTGCAAGGCTACGAGAGCGTGCGTTAAAAATTAAAACACATAAATTAATCATGAACATTTGAAATTGGAAAAATTAAGTTTTTTACATGATATCAAGTAATGGGACCTGTCCACGGCAGTTGATATAAGTACTAACTCACTTAGTATAATTACTAACTACAAACTAATATACAAAATGTAATCTTAATACAGAAGTAAGCTTCAAGTCGAAATAAGTGTTACAGTATTCTGTCATTTAAAAACAATCAAAGCTGTTCACGAACACGCCATGTTTGTGTTTAGTGAATTCCAGTTAATCAACTTTCCTCGGAAGTCTAGCATACATAGTGTAATAAATTTATTATGGCAGTAGCACAACTTAAAACTTTTGGTCAATATTAAAGGGGTTTGTATTAAAGCTTATTGTTTAGTTCAAATAATAAATATTTACCAACTGCCTCCGTCAGCGAACGATTATCGTGCTGCTCTCTCGCAGAGACGCAGAGACGCAGAGGTCCCGGGTTTGAATCCTGGACCAGGAGATTTATTTATGTGCCTACATTTACTTCCCTCGTGAATTTGGGTATAATTTGTGGTTGTCTATGTGTGTATCCACGGTACTCGAGATACAGGGTTTCCCTAGTGCGGGGCTATGAGTGTGTGCGTTACTATTTTAAAAAATATTTCCTTTTTTGTGATGACCAAGTGAGCGACGAACAAGTCGTGCGCCTGGTGTAAAGCGACACGCCTGTCCATAGCAGCTGCAGTGCCACTCAGAACTTTAATCGCTAAGATCTGAGAGGCACTCCCACTGCGCCCGTCACCCTGAGACATAAGTTGACAAGTCCCATGCGCCTGTAATTTCACCAGCAGCCTTATACCCTTCAAAACTGGAACGCAATAATGCTCCCATTATTGCTTGGCATTATTATTTACAAACTCTTTCATTAGGAGCTGTATTGCTACTAATTGCAGTGCAGTCTAAACCACACATACATTTCTGCCCGATTGTGCTTGTTGTTATAGAATATAGAAGATAGTATGATCCTAACAGTAATTAGGAGTCCACTCAACTTTGTTTCTTTTATATGGTAGGTAAAGAAAATAACGCGAGGTTTCATTCTTCCGAGTCATCAATTCACACTGACTTAAGGTAGCGGATCTAATAGCATGGACCTCTCCGCTGAGATCTGTATCCAGCATGGTAATTACACTATGATACAAATAAGAATTTCTGATACCTCGTTAGTCTGTGTTCAGTTAGTCTAGTCTAGGCATTTCGTGTCGACCACGCCTCTGAATTACTTAACATTGTTTCCTGCTTACAGCGAAGTTAATACCTGCCTGTACTCAGAAAATCGAAATTTTCACTTAAAATGAAGATTAAAGTATGATAGGAGAAAATGGAATTAGTTTGTAGGAATCTAGAAGTGGTTTAATTAGAAAAGTTCACAATGCAATACAAATATTGTTTATTGCAGTCTAGAAGAAACGCATAGCAAAAAAAAACAACAAACAGGAACAACATGCGGCCTTATTGCTAGACAGTAATCTCTTTCAGGCAACCTCCAGTTAAAGGATTAACATCTCGCCAGAACTGAGTAGCGACATCTCTCGCCAGAACTGGTAGCTGTAAAGGTACTAACTGGATGATAAATCTGTAATAGATTTCTCATAGATGGCGCTACGACTAAAAAGTCGTTGAAAGACCAAGTACAAAGACACGACGCAAGCACATAGAGAAATTCGTGAGGTCCGTTGGTTCGTTCCGTGGCTTAGTAGGTATAGCGTCTGGCACGGTATGCAAGAAGACGTCGGTTCGAATCCGACCGGATCGAAGGAATTTTTTCTGAGTGTTTTTTCTGAGTGTTCGATCTTTGTATTAAAAAATATAACAAACTAGTGGAGTAATTACATAAAAAATAATTGAATATCAATTCAATAAAAATTTCATTATGTTTATTATATTAAAGATTTAGTAACCTCCCCTACACGTCGCGACCCCTTTCCCTCTCCACGAGGCGAGTTTCCGTCTTTAAAAAGAATAGGCATTGTTCTATAACCAGAATGGAAGTGTCAATACAAAATGTCACACAATGGCTACAATCGGCGATCCGGTGTCGCGAGGGCGCGCCGAGGGCGGCGCGGGGCGAGGGGGTTCCCTTGAAAATTAAAAGAATAATAAAGATAGATGACGTATCAATTTGCAGCCATTATTTGTAATTTGATACCAGTTCTTTAGACTTCCTCAATGGATTTGTAATAATTCTTATTTTTCGTTTTCTTTTCTTGAATGATATTTAAGGATAACGCAAATTTATATTTTGATTCCGATCTGGGTGTTCAGGGTAGTGGCTGAGGTGCATTTCGTTGTTATGGAACTTCTGAGAGTCACTGGGAATATTAAGGTGTTGTGAAGAGTTAATGTTAGAAGTAATGAGGCGTACCTTTTGCGGCGGCAACGTCGTCGGTGAGTGGCGAAACGGATTTTTTACTCTGAACTTGACGAGGACAAGCGTGAGCGTGGCGGATAACTCACATAAAGAAGTACAGTATAGAGATGTATATGACATAAATCTGCGGTAGCGACCCGTTCAGTTCTTGCAAGTATATTCTAGATCTATGATGTTTGAAATAAATATTGTACGTAAATATCGCGTTTTTAGATTTTCGCGATTGTTACACATAGGGAATAAACTAATTTTTCGGATCTAATGTCACCCGTGACCGTGGCTAGGAAATATTA